GCTGCGTTCGAGGTGGCTGCAGAGGTATTTCCTGGTCCAGATGGCTCCAAAATGGCGCACGATGGTCTCCAAGACGGCCAAGAAGGCCGCAAGTGCGCACAAGATGGCCCAAAATTACCTCCTAGCTGGCACAAGAGGGTCAAAGATGCCTCCAAGTCCGCCCAAGAAGCCTCATAGACGGCCCAAGACGGCTCAAGACTTGAAGACGACTCAAGAGGTCTCCAAGAGGTCCTCCAGAAGGGCCCGAAGAGGTCAAAATCATTGATTGTACGTTGGTTGTTGAAGGATGTTGGCATTTGCTTCAGAACTGTTTCCCGACGGTCAAGACGGTCCAAGAGGACCCCCAAAACGCCACGAGAGCGCCCGAGAGGCCTCCAAGACGGCCCCATAACGGCCCAAGAGGCCCCCAAGACGGTCCCAAGAGGGCCCCAAGACGGCCCAAAATAAAGGTCTCCAAGACGCCCACGATGGCCTCCAAGACGGCTCTGGAGCGCCTTCAAAGACGGCCCCAAAGAGGCCCCCAAGACAGCTCCCAAGAGGCCCGAGGCGGCCCCCGAGAGGCCTCCAAGATGCCTCCAGAAGGCCTCCAAAAAGCCCCCAGGAAGCTCCCGGGAGACCCCAAGAGTGCCCCGATAGGCTCCCGAGAAGCCTCCACCTCCTTGTTCCTCCATCTTCTCTTTGTTTCCTTCTTATTATTCTTCTTAGTACTAGCGGTATCGGTTTTATTCTTCTTTTTCGTATTATAAGTAAGTGTCTTAGTCTTATGATTGCTAATGTTCTTCTTTCTCCCCCACGTGTTCCCCGAAGGATTTCCACAACGGCTGGGGGAACAGATCTTCTGATAGCTTGGCCGAGCCAAAAAGGCAAAGGGCGGCGGTGGTTCGCCGCAGGCGTCTTCGATAATCACTAAGCCAGCCAGATAGGCCGGACTAAGCCTGATGTTCATCCAGATGAAACAGGAGTCAGCGGGAGTGCGCCGGATCCAACTGGATAAAGCAGGACTCAACCAGATGATGCCAGATGTTCGACCAGGAATCTACCAGCGCCGATTCTGAAATTAACTCCCAGGAGTTGCGTCCTAAATGGAGGAGAAGATAGGAGTGGGCAGAATCCAGCATTCGCGCACGTGGGCAGCATGCATGCCCCCTGCCAAGTAGCAGCCCAGCTGGCCACACAGCCGTGCACGGAGGGCCAGAGGAAAAAACAGGAGGCAGAGCAAAGACGACGAGCAACATGCTGGTCGACCTTCCGTAGGCGACACCGTGCACGGGGCCAGAATTTGAAAGCTCGACGTGGTGCAGTCTGCGGAGCATGGCCGGCCAGGCCGAACAACCCACACGGCAAGGGAGAGGAGACTGGGAGAAGGGAACACCAGTCAGCAAGGGATCGGGGATTGGGAGAAGGGAACGCCAGTCCGCACCGAATCGGGAACTCGAAGAACTGCATCGGAGCGTGCGCCGGATCGGGCCGCAGCGGCGCGGGGTGGACGTCGACTCCGACGGGCCGCTCCAGCATGCCGCAAGACAGCGCCACGCAAAAGCATCGGGCCGCCGCGGAGTCGAACGGAATCGAGTGTGCAAACACAGGAATCGAACAGGATCGAAGAGGAATCGAACAGGAATCGAATCGAACAGGAATCGAATCGAATCGAACAGGATCGACAGCATCGGGCCGCAGTGGAGTCGAATAGAACAGGAATCGAACAGGGATCGAACAGTATCGACACCTGGTGGGTGTCCCGAGGGGTGTGCCGCGGTGGCTGTCCCGATGACTGCCCCGAGGACTGTCCCTCGGCTGCCCCGTGCCTGTGCCGTGGTCGCTCCTGCCTGTCCTCTGGTTGCGCCCGAGGGTTGCCCCCTATGGCTGCCCCCAGTGGCGTCCAGATGGCCGTCCCGATGGTCGTCCCGATGGTTGTCCCAATGGTGATCCCGATGGGAGGCCCAGCCTCCCCAGTCCCCAGGAGACCCCAGGAGGCCCCAAGGAGGCCAAGGCTCCTCCTCCTCCTCCTCTTTCCTCCTCCTCCTCCCCCCTCCCCCTCCTCCTCCCCTCCTCCCTCCCTCCCCTCCTCCTCCCCCTCCACTCCTCCTCCTCTCCTCCTCCTCCTCCTCCTCCTCCTCCTGCTCCTCCTCCCCTCCCCCTCCCCCTCCCCCTCCTCCTCTCTCCTCCTCCTCCCCCCCCCCTCTCCTCCCCCTCCTCCTCCTCCTCGTCCTCCTCCTCCTCCCCCTCCTCCCCCTCCCCCTCCTCCCCCTCCTCCTCCTCCTCCTCCTCCTCCTCCTCCTCCTCCTCCTCCTCCTCCTCCTCCTCCTCCTCCTCCTCCTCCTCCCCCATTCCTCCTCCTCCTCCTCCTCCTCCTCCTCCCCCTGGGCCCCAGGAGGCCCCAGGAGGCCCCAAAGGGGGGCCCCCCGAGTGCCCCCCGGCCCGGGGCCGCTGGAGCCTCCCGGGGGCCTCCCCGGGGGGCCTCGGCCCGCAGGAGGCCCCACGAGGCGGGGCGCCCCACCTCCCCGCGGCCCCGCGTTGCCCTCGTGTTGGCGGGCCGCGGTGCTTCCCCCAACGCCCAGCAACAAGCAAGGGAGGTGGAGGTGGACGGAGGAGGGAGGTTCGGCGGCGGAAATCTGGAGCCTCCCGGGGGCCTCCCCGGGGGGCTTGGGCCTGCAGGATGCCCCACGGGGCCGGGCGCCCCACCTCCCCGCGGCCCCGCGTTGCCCTCGTGTTGGCGGGCCGCGGTGCTTCCCCCAACTAAAGGGGCCCCAGGACACACAAAGAAATACACACAAATAAAACGACGCCCCATATTTTTTCGTATATGTTCCTGGGTGTTTGTCTTTCCCCCCCCCTTCCCATAGTTTCCCATATTTTCATAGGGATCGTCGATGAGTTGTCTGTGTGTTATTTTCCCTCCTGACCAACGCCCAGCAACAAGCAAGGGAGGTGGAGGTGGACGGAGGAGGGAGGTTCGGCGGCGGAAATCCGCCGGCCCCCTTGTGGGGCCACCAGGCTGCGAGGCGCGTGACTCGCAGTTTCCTGTACCAGTTGTAGTTTCTAGTTTCCAGTGTTAGAGTTCTGCTTCTTGCTGGTTACTGTAACTAGTTTACTTCTTGCTGGTTATTGTAACTAGTTGATTGACTGCGCGAGGGGGGGGAGGCCCAAACAAGATGTTCCAGCGTCCCCTGGGCGCGTTGTCTGAATTACTGGGGGGGCCCGAAATCGACACCCCTCACGCAGATCCGCGGGGTCAGGGTCCAAAAACACAAGGGATTTGCCACATTTCTGAAATTCGGTGCCACCCCTCACGCAGATCCGCGGGGTCAGGGTCCAAAAACACATGGGATTTGCCACATTTCTGAAATTCGGTGCCACCCCTCACGCAGATCCGCGGGGTCAGGGTCCACATTTCCGAAATTCGGCGCCACCCCTTACGCAGATCCAGGGTCCAAAAACACAAGGGATTTGCCACATTTCTGAAATTCGGTGCCACCCCTCACGCAGATCCGCGGGGTCAGGGTCCAAAAACACAGGGGATTTGCCACATTTCTGAAATTCGGTGCCACCCCTCACGCAGATCCGCGGGGTCAGGGTCCAAAAACACAGGGATTTGCCACATTTCTGAAATTCGGTGCCACCCCCACGCAGATTCCAAAAACACCGGATTTGCCACATTTCTGAAATTCGGTGCCACCCCTCACGCAGATCCGCGGGGTCAGGGTCCAAAAACACATGGGATTTGCCACATTTCTGAAATTCGGTGCCACCCCTCACGCAGATCCGCGGGGTCAGGGTCCAAAAACACAGGGGATTTGCCACATTTCTGAAATTCGAACCCATCACGCACATCCATCGCAAGGCGTGGTAACCCAAACTGCGAGAACTCCCTCGGCCCTTTCATCGCAAGGTGTGGTAACCAAGCCCTTAAACCATACACGTCTTACCAATCGCCAGGTGTGGTAACCCCTCTTGTGATCAGTTGGTTTTGCTGATTGCGACTCGGCTTCGCATGAAGTTTCGATACTGCTTCACGACAGCGCCAAGGCCTCATGACTTAGCTCTTCCATGGCCCATTCTCCGAGAGAGGGGGCCGGCGGCAGGGGGCGAAGCCCTTACGGATAAATGCATATAGCCGGCCTTGACTGGACAGGACGCGCGAGAGGACACAAGACCCTTCCGAGGGCCTCATCGCAATAGGAGTATTGAAAGGCACGTGTCGCGCGCGAGGCACAGGACACATGGGTACCCTTGAGCTTGCAGGGTCGACCTACTGACCCAGGCCGACTGTAAACATAAACTTTTTGCGCTCCGCGCGGATTTCTTGGATCCGCGCTGGAGCCCTCTCTCTGGCGCGCGGAGAGCGCCAGGGGCGGCGCCAGAGGCGCCGCCAGGAGGCCCCAGCGCGGATCCAAGAGATCCGCGCGGAGCGCCAAAAGTTTATGGTTATGCCCGTGTTTCTTCTTCGGGAGGTGGGAGAAGCTGCGTATGCGACAACGGACCTGTTGTCGCACATCGGCCTGAGGCGGTCTTTGGCGGTCTTATGGCGGCCCGCTGCGACTTACGGTGGTCTCCGGCGGCCTTCGGCAATTCCTGGCGGTGTTTGGCAGTTTCCAGTGGTCTTCGGCACGAGATCTGGACGGCTGCGTTCAACAAGGGGCCCTTGATCGAACACTCAAGAGAAGGACGGGGTGATTAACCAAAAACGGCCTCCTAACCCTTGAGGAGGGGACCTAATTTAGGAGGGCCAGAAACATGTAGGGATAGAGGGTCTCTTCTGCAAGTGAACCGATCCCAAGCGCCCAGAATCATGATCCCTAATGCGACGACGGGGACCTCATTGAGGCCACGTCTTCATCGTGTTCTTAGGGCTAGGGGTTCTTCTGTGCTCGATGACGGGGGATGAGCAAGCGGAGCGGGAAACGCGCAAGCACATGACTGGGCAACGCGACTTGACGTGTGCCAAGCTCATGTTGCCGCCGCCGTGTCACGATACATCGTCGCACACACAAGCACACTGTTTACTTAAGCAGCCAGCCTGTGAGGTCGACGCTGTAGGTCTTGCTCAGATGCTTCAGCTCGCGCATAGACATGGCCTCAGTTAGTAGCAGCAGCTCGCCGAATCTGACATGCCCTGTCTAACTTTGCAAGGAGGGAACAACTACGACTACCGTATTCCGCCGTAGTGCCGCTGGCACCACAAAGTGCAACGAATAATCACGAACCGAGCTGGGAACGCAACACGTACCAAGCTGCCATAAGCGCTGCACTGCAACATCGGCGGAACGGTTGGCAGGTTGTGCGTGACGATCTCTCTAACGAGCACCCAGATGAAGGAGCCTGGAGGAGGAGTTGGACAGAAAGGGGAAGGGGGGGTGAGCTGAGGAACAGCGGGGGAAGGAGGAGAAGTAGAAGAGAGTGAAGACAAAGTGACTACTTAAACTGGCAAGGCCGCCACCAATCGCGCATGTAAACGCCGCAGCCATGGATGTAATGGCGATCGGAGAAACAAATGAAAGTCTGGACTGAATTATCGTCAGATCATAAGCTTGGCGCACCATGCTACACGATAAACATGCAAGCGAGAAGACGAGAGAAGAGCGAACCCAACCACCGACGCTCTGGGGACGACCATGTGCGGTAGCACGAGTCCTAATCACGTACGCAGCATACACGCAGCACGTACAATCGTCCCCAGAACGCGAGCAACAGCCAGCCTGCAGCATGCATTCGAAGACGTTGCTGCGCGAACATGTGTAAATTCTCAAGGCCTGAGAGCGGACCAAGACGAAGATGCGGAGGGCCCCTCCTTGTGTAGGCACCCCTGTTGGCGGCGCACACACGGGGGTAGGAGGAGGGGGGAGGGCTTCTTAGAAGGAGGCGGCTTCTTGGAAGGCGCCAGCCTTACATCTACAGACAATGCCCTCGCCTTCTCAGCTGCAGCCTCCTTCCAACTACGAAGCCTTCCCACCTCCCCCCACCCCCCTCTGCGCGTGGCGTCGGTTTTCGGGCCACGACTCGGGCCTCAGGCGGCCGCTTGGGACGATCCCGGCACCCCCAAAACGCACTCGGCGAGACGCAGGTGCTGGAGAGCGTCCCGAGGCTGGAAGACCGCCTTTTCAGGAGCCGCCTCCTTCTCGGAGGCCTTCCCCCCTCCCCCCCTTTCTGCGCGTGGCCGAGAAAATGACCCACGATCCGAGTGCGCCATCTCGCCTCGCCTCGCCTCGCACCGCCTCTCCTGGCACGGCCCTGGCAGCTCTCTTCGCAGGGGCCAGCGCAGCCACTGGGCGCCCCTGCACTGGCAGGGCGCGAGGTCGACGAGGGATAGCCCGAGGAATCGAAAGTTCGTGGCAATCACAACCGAAAGTCAGATCAAGAGAGCATGAAATCTGGGCCAATTTCCCGGACGCTTCTTCAACCAAAACTGATCCAATTTCTGCTGTTGGCGCTCATGGGGTGAGGATGCTCAAGAAACTGGGCCAGCATCCTGGCAATTGGCTAGGAAACGTTGGCCTAGCTTTTCTAAAGGAGGTGTTCATAACCAGACGCTCGACTGTAATTTGGGGGGGTACCTCTCCGCCTCCGGCCCCCCCCCCTGGTGCGGTGTCTGGGCGCACTGCATTCAAATCTGGCGACGGCGACGGCGATGGCGACGGCGACACGGCTGGCTCCTGTGTCCTGAGGGTGGAGAGACGAGGAATGACGAACAGGAGGGGGGGGCGGGGAGAGAGGGAAAGGACAGCGTAGTGGAGGAGAGGAAAGTCGAGAGCAAAGCTGTGTTGCAAAGACGGGAGAGTCGCAACTAGCATGAACAACCTTGTGTGCATCGCTCTAGCCCTGTACGTGCCCAATCATCTTGCCAACCGCTATACCTATACTTGCTGAGTCGGACGCCAAGATATGGGTGGACTCTTTCTGACGGGGCTGTCTTAAGCGGGCTCAGTCTCGAGCCCCCTGCTCATGCACGAACGAGGCGCCGAGAGGATTCAGTGACGTCAGAATGTGGCCCCGGCACTGTGGACGCCTCCAATCGGTCACATGTCGTATGTCAGGTGAAAAAGGATATTCCGGAGGCCCCCTTGGGGGTACAATGCTGTGAAGCGTGTTGCTGGACTGCTGTCCTGGGTTCCCCTAGACAGCTTGCCTTGAAATCTTAAATACATGTTATATTCCACGGTAGCTCCTTGGATAACTAAGAACTGAGAGGGTTTCATATCAGAAGCCGGCAGCACAAGGTGGCCCGGCGGCTCTTTCCGGCGCCGGTCAAACAGCGTCGCAGGGGGTCCTGGGAACTCGCAGCGCGTCCCGGCAAGCGTTTTCCGACTCGTTCCCTATCAGAAGCCTTTCTGCAGCTCCGTCGAAGCTCCTTGGAAGCTCCTGCGAAGCTCCCGGTCTCCAGCTTGCGAGCCCCTTTAGGCATCCTGTCAGGGTCCTTGCGAGCGTCCCCGACAGGCCTTTCCCAAGCTCTGGACTGCCCCGTTTCCCGGGTTTTGGACGCCACAGGTTCACGTCGGTCGGAAGAAGTAGGTAGAAACATGAAGTAGGAAGGCGGGTATAGTGGATTGGGTCCAGGCCCCCCAGTGAATGACAAAACACAGCAAAAGCGTGTCGATTCTTGAAGTAGGAAGGCGTGTGAAATAGATTGGGATCTGGGAATCCAGAAATACCTACTTTCAACGATGGAGGAGGAGGAGGAGGAGGAGGAGGAGGAGGAGGAGGAGGAGGAGGAGGAGGAGGAGGAGGAAGGAGGAGGAGGAGGAGGAGGAGGAGGAGGAGGAGGAGGAGGAGGAGGAGGAGGAGGAGGAGGAGGAGAAGGGGGAGGGGAGGAGGAGGAGGAGGAGGCGGAGGAGGAGGAGGAGGGAGGAGAAGGAGAAGGAGAGGGAGAAGGAGAGGGAGAGAGGAGGAGGAGGAGGAGGTAGGAGGAGGAGGAGGAGGAGGAGAGGAAGGAGGAGGAGGAGGAGGAGGGGGAGGGGGAGGAGGAGGAGGAGGAGGAGGAGGAGGAGGAGGAGGAGGAGGAGGAGGAGGAGGAGGAGAGGAGGAGGAGGAGGAGGAGGAGGAGGAGGAGGAGGAGGGGAGGAGGAAGAGGAGGAGGAGGAGGAGGAGGAGGAGGGAGGAGGAGGAGGAGGGAGGGGGGAGGGGAGGAGGAGGAGGAGGAGGAGGAGGAGGGAGGAGGAGGAGGAGGAGGAGGAGGAGGAGGGAGGAGGAGGAGGAGAGGAGGAGGAGGAGGAGGAGGAGGAGGAGGAGAGGGGGAGGAGGAGGAGGAGGAGGAGGCGGAGGAGGAGGAGGAGGAGGAGGAGGAGGGGGAGCTCCCCATCCTCCTCCCTTCTACCCTATGCTAGCAGTGGTGGACAATTGGCCCATCATGTTACGCAATGGTTGGTGTTTCTCCTGTCGCTCCAGCCCTGTCCCCTTTGCGCCCACCAGCCTGCCGCTCCAGGCTGGGGAGGGGGCGCCCACCAGCCTGCCGCTCCAGGCTGCCCCAAGATCCCAACAGGGATGCCGCCAGGCAGCATAGAGAGCCGAAGAGGCCTCGAAGACGGCCCCAAGAGGCATTGAAGAGCGCCTCGAAAGCCGAAGACGGCCCAATGTGGCCCGAAGATCCTTGCAAGATGGCCCAGGAGAGCCCAACGACGGTCACGAGGGGACAAAAGTCATGGCAAACATTAGTAGGGCCTTCATTGTTTCTCTGCATGTTCCCTAAGGTAGTTCCAAGCTGGTCCTACGCGACCCCGAGAATGCCCAAGACGGTCCCAAGGTGGCCGCAAAAGACCCCAAGGTGACCCCCTCATGTCGCCCAGCATGGCCCAACCAGCCCCCAGACTGCCCCAACATGGCCCAACAAGCCCCAATATAGGCCACAGAGGCGTCACGATGGCCCCAAGACTGCTTCAAATGGCTCGAAGATGGCCCCAGAGGCCGCAAAGATGCCCCTGGGAGGCCCTTAGATGTCGCCTTGCCCCAGGAAGCAGCAGGAGTCTGGCGCGGCGTGGCGCTGGAATCAGATCGGAGGGCGCACACGACATTGAATTACCCCTGAAACTGTTTTTTCTTTGTCGTCTGATCACTGGAAAGAGCGTACAATGTTCGTACATCTACGAACATTGTACGTTATTTTTTCCGTAGGTTCGACGGAGCTTTCAAGTTCGGGGTAAATCAATGTTGAAGTCGATCCCCTATTCGAAAAACGGTGTAAGCAGGGCGGCCCCAACGGCCCCGCAACTGCCCATGTACACACGCGCAGTGCGTCTCAGCCCAGGGGGGGGGGGGGGGGCAGAGGCCAGTGGTGCGGTCCTATTCAGATAAGAGGCGGCAGATAAGGCACGACGGAGCCGAGAGTGGTGCGTGCGCACGTCCGTCACCGAGCGAGCTTGACACCGAGAGAGAGAGAGAGAGAAAGAAAGAAAGGAAGAAACAAAAAAGAGAGAGAGAGAGAGAGAAAGAGAAAGAGAGAGAGAGAGAGAAAGAGAGAGAGAGAGAGACGAAAGCGAGCCGCACACGAATGCATGTACAGAGAGAGAGAGAGAGGGAACAAACAAAGAGAGAGCAAAAGACAGAGACACAAAGAACGATAGCAAACAACACCAAGATATATGAAGAGAGAGAGAGAGAGAGACAGAAACACAAACAAAACCCAGACAACCGATCAGGGGGGCCGAAGAGAACCCAAAAGAGAGGAGCAGGTGAGGAACGCGGGGCACATGGAGCGGCATGCAGGACCCGTCGCACCCCACGGGGCCCACGGACGCACTCGGACGCCACAACACGGCGTGGAGAGAGAGCCCTGGTGAAGCGCTGGGCGGCGAGGTCTGTCAAAGCATGGCACCGCGGCAATCTCCAGAGGCAGCCACCGCTGCCCTCAACGGGCCCACAGAGATAGCCCATGGTGGTCGGGGATCTTCTGGCCCGGGTCCATCCAGACCAGGGCCAGCAGTGCGGGAACAAAAAACGGCAACGCAGGTCTTCGCAAACCCGGGTCGGCCAACAGGCGCGGCCGCCTCGCGGCCACGAGCGGTTCGCTAAACCGGATCAGCCAGAGGGAGCTTCGCAGGATGCTGCAGGATCCGGCGCCCTGGCTGACCCCCCTCTGCACTGACCCCCGTCTCGAAGCTCCCGAGGTGGTCTCCACACCCGAGGCCCGGGCGCCAGGGTGTTGGGACCGCCTCGGGAAGCCTGGGAGGCTCACGGAGGCCATCTGTGCTACCTCCAGAGGACGTCGTCCGTGCGCGTTCCCCCTCCTCGTTCCCCGATCCCTCCACCACCCTCAGCCTCCAAATTGGATCCCTCTCTCCTCGATCCTCGACCCCCCCCCGTCGGTCCTCGATCATCGATCCCACCTCCTCGATTCTCGATCCTTGGGGACCTCATGCAAGGGACCTCCAGAGAGAGCCCTCCCCTCGGCGACTCGGTCGAGCCTTGCCAGGAGAGGGCGCATCGGCGTCTCCCTGGCCTCCTGCAGGGGGCCTGGCGATATCTAGAGGAGCCTGGAAGAGCCTGGAGAACTCTCGGGAAATCTGGGCCAGACGCCCCTCCCGCACCCTCACCCTACGACCCAACCACAATGCCTCGAAACAGAAAAGGCGGCGCTCGTGTCCTCCTCCTCCTCCTCCTCCTCCCCCTCCTCATCCTCCTCCTCTTCCTCCTCCTCCTCCTCCTCTTCCTCCTCCTCCTCCTCCTCCATTCCCTCTCCTCCACTCCTTCTCCTTATAGATAATGTCTCCCTCTCGCACCCCGAAGCCTGTTTTTAGGGCGGCCGGGCGTTTCGCCTGCGCCTTCCTCGCCATTTGTGACCCTGGAGCTTAAACATTGGCGACAGTTTCACAGATGGGGGGCGGGTGGTTTTTTAAGTGGCTCTCGCCTTAGCGCCGCGCACATTCGCTTTAGACATTTGCAAAGAATCTCACAGATTGAAGGCGGGTCGTTTCAAAGTGTGGCTGTCGCCTTAGCGCCGCGCGCATTCATTTCACTAAATTCGCAAGAGCTTCACGTATTGAGGGCGGGTGGTTTTCAAATTGTGGCTCTCGCCTCAGCGCCGCGCACATTCGTTTGGCACATTGAAAGAACTTCACGGGGTGATGGCGGGTGGTTTTCAACATGTGGCTCTCGCCTTAGCGCCGCGCACATTCGTTTGGCAAAATTGCGAAAGTTTCACATGATCAGCGTACAAGAAATGGTGTTTCGGAAAGATTCAGGACTATGAAGGTCAGCAGTTACGTTGACTTGCGGTGTTGAAATCCCTGCAATCGCGTTCTGGCACGATTCAGGATTGTCAAGACGCAAGAGTCAGGTTGATCCGTGACGTTGGAGTCCTGAGAATAATGTTTTGGCATGCTGCAGGGTCTCCGAACGGTTGTCTTCGAACGAAGAAATTCCCTCTTCTTCCTCCTCCTCCTCCTCCTCCTCCTCCGCCTCCTCCTCCTCCTCCTACCCGCTCCCGTCGCCCTCTGCCCTTCCGCCCAGCGGTTCCGTCTCAGGGGCGACCCTGGCTCGTCGATGGCGGCGGGCGACGGCGGCGAGGGGGCCGCTGCCGCCAGCCTGAGGGGATGCCCGGCGGCAGGGAGGCCGGGTGGCCTCTTGGCCGCTCCACTGTCCTCCGCCAAGGCCAAGAGTGAGGATCTGGGGTTAGTGTGCAGGGACATTGGACGGCTGCTCCGACATGGGCAGCTGTCCCCTTCGACGCCTCGCAACCACAGCTCCGACGCGCGCGCACAAATAATCCGAGTCGGACCTTCCTGGGGGGACCAAAAGGTACCAACACCGCTACTCCCCGGACCTCCCCCCGGGCACGGTCTGCCCAGGAGTTCAGGACGAATCCAGCCGTGGCGACGAGGGCCTCCGAGGAGGCCCAGAAAAGGGGCAGCCGGACGGAGGGGCGGCAGCATGGACACCTGTCCCTCCTCTGACCTCCAGGGGCGCCTCGCGCGCCAGGCGAGGCCACAGGGGCCAAGTTGGCAGGCCGGCCCCCCCCGCGTGACGGAGCATACCACGGCCCCACCGGCGGGCCGCCGCCGTCTGCCGACGGCACGGCACATGGCCACCCTGCCAGAGCTGCATCCGGCCCCCACGGTGTGGCTCATACGGTGGGGGCATTTGTTTTTCTCTCTCTATTCGAGGGCAACGTGCCCGCCTCAGCAAGTTCATGCCTTTCTGCGCTACACACGCATGGCAGCCGCAGTGGCCGCTCTGGACAGGCGAGCCGCCGCCCCGCGGGCGCGCGCCTCCGCGGCCGAGGCGAAGCCGTGGGCCGCGGCCACCGCCTCGGCTGGCGGCAGGGTGAGGAGGTGAGGACGCCGCCGACGGCGCTGGCGCCCGAGCTCCCGCCTCCTGCCGCCGCGGACGTCCACTGGCGCCGGGCTGGCCGCGCATCCTCGCCGTCCAGCGCCGAGCGGGTGCGCGCGGCCATGCGCACCACCTGGTCGCTGCCCGCCTCCAGCCCCAGCTGCTCCGCCCAGCGGCTCCGCACCTCGGCGGCCCGAATCCAGGGTCTGGAAGCTGGTGGAACCACCAATCGTAGATTGGCCGTGGATATCACTGCCGACCTCATCCGATAAGGAACCCTCCGGGGTCTGGAGCCCCCTGGGCGCAGTCCGTGACCAACGCCCCCACCGTAGTGTTAGGCCGAGCATGTCCTCCTACAGGCGGACCTTGAAAGACAAAGTGGCACATCGTCAAGCAAAGGCTTGCTGAATGATAGCGAGGGCACGACGACTCGTCGGCAGACTGCGTTGGAACTCTTCTTGAGCATTCTTCCTGTGGAGGCATATGCCCGACTCAGTTGTCGTTCCTAGTGGCCCTGCCCACGGGAGCCCGCCGACTACCGCTGGCGCGAGCCGAGGGGGCCACCAAGCCCACACCGCAGCCAAGCCTTCGGCCGTGGCTCACGGTGACCCTCCCGCCGAGGGCCCGGCGACCACCGCTGGAGCCGCTCAGTGTGGCCACCAGGCCAACGCTCCTAACCAGCCTCGAACGTATCCCTATCCCTAAGATGGGCGAGCAGCAAGCGAGGACAATCTTAGGGGTAGGCCCTCAGAAACTGAGGGAATGCTTAAGATCGGCATCGACGTGAGGTGATGTCAAACATAGGGATAGGGATATGTTTCAAACTGGTAAGCTCCGGCCAGACCCCGTGGTATCGCCCAAGGCGCAATCTCCTGGGACTCTCCTTCTGAGGGTCCGTGGAAACCCAGGGGCATCAGCCACGGGGGCTACCAGGGCAACGCTGCAGCCAGTCCCTCCGTCGCGGCTCACGGAGAGGCCCGCGCGGTGGCGCGGAAGACATGCGGAAGCTGTGCGGTCACTGGGGTGGGGTGGGTTGTGGTGCGGCATTGATGTGGCACAGTTTTGTTTTCAAGCGCATCTTTTGGAGAGGGGTAGGAGGAGACGGAAGGGGAAAGCGCGGCGAACAGCAGCCGATCCCCTCGACAGTCCGCGCACCGCGGCCATTGACGTTGCAGAGTTGGATGGGGCATGGGGGACGCTGGATGGCCTTGGGGGAAGACGGCCCGACATCCGAAAATTGGGAAAGGAGCAGTCAAACTCCGCGCGTTCCCTCCGCTCCCACGCGCCCTGCGCCCACGTGGGCCGCCCAAGAGGGCCCCAACCGGGCCGCAAGAAAAGCCACAGAGGGGTAACATTAGCTGACATTTCCAGCCTTCCACCCCAAGAGAGCCTCCGAGACCACCAGCAGAAGCCCAACAAACCCGCAAGAGGCCCCAGGAGGCCCTCAAGAAGCCCAAACGAGGCTCCCAAAGGCCCCCAGACGGTCGCCACAAGGCCCCCGGACGTTTCCAAAAGGCCCCCCCAAACCCCCAAACCGCCAGCATGCGCTAAAAAAACCTCCCAGGACCTGGAAAAGCGACCCCGAAACAGCCCCAAAAAACCTCACAACCACCACAATCGTGAACTTCTGACCTCTGCTCGAGGTCGGCGGAATGGCGCAAGGTTCTTGGGCAAGCAGTTCCCACTGTTGGAGGGGGGGAGGTCCTAAAGACCCCTCTCGGCCAGGAGGGCCTCTGAGAAGCCCCCTGGGCCCTTCCAGGAAGGCCCCGTTGCCTTCTTGAGAGCGCCCCGGGCCTTCTTGGGAGTGCCCCCTTGCCTTCTTGAGAGCGCCCCGGCCTTTTTTGAAGAGCGCTCCCTGCCTGCTTGAAAGCGCCCCTGCCTTCTTACGAGCGCCCCGCTGCCCTCTCGGAAGCCCCCCCCCGGCCTTCTTGAGAGTGCCCCCTTGCCTTCTTGAGAGCGCCCCAGGCCTTCTGGAGAGCGCCCCTTGCCTGCTTGGAAGCTGCCTTGTGTGCGCGTATCCTTGGAAGCGCCCCTGCCTCCTTACGAGCGCCTTCTTTTCGAAAGCTGCCTTCTTGGAAGCTGCCTGCTTGGAAGCTGCCCCTGCCTTCTTACGAGCGCCCCGCTGCCCTCTCGGAAGCCCCCCCCCGCCTCCCCCTATCGCGCAGCTGCCTTGTCTGCGCGTCTCCGAGTCGCCTCGCGGGGGCCGCGCACCTGGTGCCCCAGGGCCTCTTGCCCTGCAGGAGGAGGAGGAGGAGCAGGAGGAAGAGGAGGAGGAGGAGGAGGAGGAGGAGGAGGCAGAGAAGGAGGGCGAGGAGGAGGGCGAGGAGGAGGGCGAGGAAGAGGGCGCGGACGAGGAGGAGGAGGAGGAGGAGGAGGAGGAGGAGGAGGGAGAAGAGGAGGAGGAGCTGGAGCTTGGGGCGAGACCGACTGGAAGCGCGCGTCCGCGTACAGCCGGACCCACAGCTGGAGATGGGGCCCAGGAGCGCATCAGATAAGCAAGCTGGGCCAGCGTCCCAAAGATTTGTTCTCACGCAGACCTCGGCCGAGTTCTGCTGTTCACACTGGAGGGGGGACCGGCCATCGCTCGGACGTCCATTCCCTCTGTTTTTTCCGGTTTCGTGCGTGGTTTTTCCGCCAAATGATCAAGGATGCTCCTTGATGGTCCTCGCCGAAGGAAAAATTCACACGTCCCAGCGATGCCAAGGGGAAGGAGCTCAAGACACTGGGCCAGCTGCAAGGCAAGTTGGTCCAAAAACGCTGGCCCAACTTCTCGGCAGGAGGTTTCTTGATCAGATGCCTGACTGCAGGCAAGAAAAGAGACATCGTTCAAGAACATGAGAACCTCAGTCGGGCAAAACAAACCGAACATCGCGGGCACCCTCCCCAGGATGCACAAGAAGACCCAACAAACACGAAGAACACGAGGGCATCCTCCCCGAACCGACATCGATCGTATACTTCGTTCCGACTGTGTGTTCCCCGACGTCGTGATCCTGACGAGGTCTAGAGCCATTCCCCAACGCGATCTCATCCAAACTAATTTCCTATGGACTGGTGAAGGCCCTGGAGGCCGACATTTTGGAAACAACTCTTGTTAGGAGATTGATCACGACAAGAGCAGTCATGGGTTCAAACAGCTCGCACCTGGGGCCCGAAAACTGCCCCCTGGCTCAAGATTTCGACCTCCACCCCGTTGCGAGTGTACCTGGGCAAAGAAATTGTAGGACAGCAGGGGCGAGGGGAATGGAGGGGGGTGGGGAGGTGGAGGGGGAGGTAGAGGAAACACAGGAGAAAGAGAAACGAGGGCCTGGAGGGGGGAGCAGGAGGAGCAGCAGGAGAAGCGCCAGCACACGTGAGTCCAGCGTTAGGTTACCGTCGCCGAGAAGGCCGCAACCATGGATATGGTCGGGGGGCTAGGAGGAGGAGCAAGGGAGGAGGAGGAGTACTGAGTGCTGGGCACTGCTCTGGGAGGACTGACCACATCGTCACACAAGCGGGTGGCCTCTGAACGTCAGGGAGGAAGAGGAAGAGGAGGAGGAGGAGGAGGAGGAGGAGGAGGAGGAGGAGGAGAACGCACAAGGAAGAGGGAGAGGAGGAGGAGGCGGGGGATGAAGGAGGAGGAGGAGGAAGGAGGAGGAGGAGGAGGAGGAGGAGGAGGAGGAGGAGGAGAAGGTGTGATGGAAAGAGGGCGAGGGGGAGTGGAGGGGAAGGAGAGGAGGGGAAGGAGCGGAGGTCGAGGTGAGACGGGGAGGGGTGTGTGGGGAGGAGGCCCGCCGCGGGGCACGAAGGGGGGGGCTCCTGCGCGCCATCTCGCGCTTGTCGAAGCAGCCCGCCAGGCTGACGCCGAGCACCGCGGCCCTGCGCTTGAGCTGCGCCGCCGGCAGGAGCTCCAGGGCCGCTGCGAGGGGGGGGGGGGGGATCGGCTGGGGAGAAGGAGCCTCCCCGATGCTGGCGGCGCCCACCAAAGGGGGGGGAATGGGGCAGGAGAGGGGCGGGGTGCGAAGCAGGCAGGAAGGGGGGGAGGGGGGTCTGACGAGCTAGGTGCGCTCGCGTCATATCTGACGTCCTACCCCTTCCTCCCATCCCTTACCATGGCGCTGATTTTCTCTATCCGCGGACGCGTGTCGTAGCGGACCTGTGGCTCCGCGCGCGCGTGCGTAGTGGGTGGTGGTGCGCGTGCGTGCGTGCGTGCGTGTGTGCGTGGTTGTGGTGGTGGTGGTGGTGGTGGTGGTGGTGGTGGTGGTGGTGGTGGTGGTGGTGGTGGTGGTGGTGGTGGTGGTGGTGGTGGTGGTGGTGGTGGTGGTGGTGGTGGTGGTGGTGGTGGTGGTGGTGGTGGTGGTGGTGGTGGTGGTGCGGCGCGGTGGTGGCGGGCGGATGGGCGCGCGAGAAAGAGGCCCGCGCTGGGGCGAGAACGCCATCCTGAACGACGGAGGCCAAACACCGATCCGAAAATGAGGCCCACGCTGCAGCGAGAGCACGATTCGGAACGATTCGGGAGCAGAAATGAGGCCTGCACCTCAGCGAGAGCAGCATTTTGAAAACAAACAAAAAAAACGCAAGCGAAAACCCGTTTCCCGGGCATCCTGTGGGTAAAAAACAGTACGCGGGGGGGTGTCGGATATCTTCGGGACGCCATCAGGGGAAGTGGGAGAGTATTTTCATATTGTATAATTGTGCAGGGAAGCCTTCTGAGAAGGGCCGGGGGGCTTCTCAGAAGCTTTCTTCGTAGCCGGGCGGGTTTTCTTTGAACCCCCCCTGCATTTTCAGAAACCCCGACGTCTTCTTAGAAGCCTCCCCCCATCACGCCACCGCCTTGTGGGCGCCGTTGGGGAGGGGTCCGAATACAGCGGAGATATGGTCCTCGAGTTCCCAGGGCACGATCCCGAAGCGACCGACATGTTCGCAGACAGCCGATTCATGTTCTTTCAATTCGCGACCCCAGAGCTCCAGACAGGCTTCCTGGGTGTAGCATTTTACCTCGGATGCAGTCTTGATGGCCCCTGGGCCTGATAGCGAGCTCCTGGAGGCTGAAACCACGGACAAAATCTGGAATTGACACAACCACGTCCTCGGAAACCTGGTTTCCGACAGTGAGGGCACAACATTCCGAGGTGGGCGCTGCTCGGAGCGGCGACGACGGGGAGCATGAGAACCTGTCCGAGCCTGGCGCGCTCCACCAAAACGCCGACCGCAACGCCACGGTTGGACTCGCACGGGCCTGGAATGTCGGCGGGCGCCCACGCGCTCTGGCGGTGAGGGGGCCCCGAGCAGCGAACGCACAACGTGTCCGTATCCGCGCCCTCGCGGTCTGGATTCTGACCACCTACCAGACCACCCCAACCCAGCCCGAAGACCCGAATTTCGGGTTGGGGGGGGGTAAGGGCTCCACGCGTGTTTTTTCTATGTTTCCCGACCCCCCCCCCACTAGAAATCGAGGGTTAATCTTAACCTTCGGGTGGCGAGATTCTGGGGCGCGCTCCCGCGGATGCGCGGTCGCCCGGGGCACGTTCCGCGCGGGGCACCCGCGAAAAAACGCCCCGCACCCGCGGGGCCGCAGCCCAGGGGCCCGGCCCGCGAGGCCGCGGGTACCGAAGTGTTGCTTTCCGCCCCCCCACGCCAAGGCACTAATTGGTGGTCTCCAAACCAGGTGGTGAAACACCCGGTGGTGACCCTGATTCCCCCCCAAAAGAATTCTGGGACACCACCGGGTTTGGGGACACGCGGTCGCCACGAGGTTTTGCGTTGCCTGGGCCAGCCAGCGCTCGAAAACCATTACCCAAATCGCCCAAAACTCACCACCGGGTGTTCTCACCACCACGTTTGGGGACCACCAAACTAATATCGGCGGCGGCCTCCCCCGAGGGCGTATGAGGAAAATCCCACGGACATCACGAGGCACCCTGCTTCCCACTCCACACGTCGGGTTCACGTCGGATGTGCGCCAGATGCAGGTCGGATTCATGCTCGACTTGCGCCGCACAGCCCTCACGCGAGGGAGCCCCGAGTGGCAGAGGCAGCCCCGAATGGTCGCCCAGATGCGCTCCGCGCGGAGCCTCCACGAACGATCACAGGGGCCTGGCCCGCGAGGCCGCGGACACAACTGGCCGATTCCTGAAACCCCGAGCCCGAAAATACGGAGGACAGTGGTGGAAAAGGAGGAGGAGGATGAGGAGGAGGAGGAGGAGGAGGAGGAGGGAGGAGAGGAGGAGGAGGAGAAGGAGGAGAGGAGGAGGAGAGGAGGAGGAGGAGGAGGAGGAGAAGGAGGAGGAGGAGGAGGAGGACTGCCACCTCTTGGGAGAGCGCCGTCTGCTTCCGCCGGGCTTGCGCCGCCCTCCGCTGGCGGAGCCGCCGCCGCTCTACTCCCGCAGGAGGAGCTGCCGACCCTCCGCCGTCGTCCCGCCGCGGCAGAGATGGCCTCCTCCCTCCTCCTACCTCCTCCTCCCTCCTCCCTCCTCCCTCCTCCTACCTCCTCCTCCTCTCCTATCCTCCTCCTCCTCCTCCTCCTCCTCCACCTCCTCCTCCTCCCCCCTCCTCCTCCTCCTCCTCCTCCTCCTCCTCCTCCTCCTCCTCCTCCTCCTCCTCCTCCTCCTCCTCCTCCTCCTCCTCCTCCTCCTCCTCCTCCTCCTCCCCCTTTTTGGCGCGCCCCGGAGATCGCCCACGGGAGGGAGCCCCGAGCGGCCGAGGCGGCCCCGCGTGGCCGAGGCACGCCCCCCCGAGGCAGCCGCCGGACGGGCCCCCCCCCGCGAGGGAGGCCCGGCCCCCCCCCCGCCCCAAGGGGGCGCACGGCGCCTCGGGGGGCTGTGGCGCGGTGCCGTGTTCGGGCAGTGCTGCAAGGGGGGGGGGTCCTCCCCTGACCTTCCAGAGAGCTATTTTTCAGCACTGGAGACCTAGAAGCCTAAAAAACGGAGCGAAACTGCCTAAAACCAAGACGTAGAATAGCCTTGGGGTAGGTTTTTTAAGTCGCGTGCTATTTTTTAGCCCTCTTGGAAGGTCAGGGCCCCCCACCCCGCAGGGGGCGCACGGCGCCTCGGGGGGCGGTGGGGCGGTACCGTGTTCGGGCAGTGCTGCAGGGGGGGGGGGTCCTCGTGGCTCCCGGGTCGAGGCTCGAGGCGGGAGCCACGAGGAATTCCGGGATCGAGGCGCTCGAGTCTCCGGGAGCCGCGCGAGGCAGGACCCGGGGGAGGCTCCGGGAACATCGAGGGCCCAGGATCGCGGTTCCAGGGGGCCGAGGCCTCGCCGGCTCCTCCCGAGGATCGAGGCTCCAGGATCGAGGGTCGAGGATGTGGGGCTTCGGGGCCGAGGATCGAGGATCGAGGTTCCAGGGGCCACGAGGTTCGAGGATCGAGGCTCCGGGATCGAGGTTCCAGGGGCCCCGAGGATCGAGGTGCGAGGATCCAGGCTCGAGGCCCGAGGACCGAGGAGCGGGCCTTTGGGGAGGCCCTGGGGGGCGGGGTCTCGGGTCGGGCGAAAGGGGGGGATAGCAAAGGGGGGGGGGGGGGAGAATCAGCTCACGTAGCTGACTTTCCTGGCGCCTCGCGGCGCCGGGAGGCGCCCATGTGTCAAGGAATGGGCCCGGCGGCGGGGCCGAAACCAGCTGCATGCAGCAGATTTCGTACCCCCCCTTTCCCTATCCCCCCCTTTCCCCTGACCTTCCAGAGAGCTATTTTTTAGCACTGGAGACCTAGAAGCCTAAAAAACTGAGCGAAACTGCCTGAAACCAAGACGTAGAATAGCCTTGGGGTAGGTTTGCAAGTCGCGTGCTATGTTTTAGCCCTCTTGGAAGGTCAGGGTCCCTATTCCCCCCCTTTCGTTCGGCCCGAGGGTCGTGGGTCCCAACGGGACCTCCTCCTCCAGGAGTCCGCCGCGGGCCCGTCGAGGGCCGCCGAGGGCGGCTCCTGGGGACGCCTGCCCGACAGTGCACGACGCGCGTCGCCTCGCAGCAGGCGACAGGGTGCGGAGGAGCGGGTGCAAGGCAGAGGGGGGAGGAGAGGAGGGAGGAGGAGGGGAGGAGGGGACACTGACCTTCCAAGAGGGCTAAGAAATAGCGCGCGACTCAAAAGCCTATCCCAAGGCTATCCTACGTCTTGGTTTTGGGCTGTTTCGCTCGGTTGTCGAGGTTTTTAGGCCTCCAGTGCTAAACAATAGCTCTCTGGAAGGTCAGGGGAAGAGGGGGCATGCTCCCCTCACCTCCTCCTCTGTCGACGATCCTTCTGCCGAGCCTCGGCTGAGCCTGACCCTGTCTGCAGGAAGCCTCGGCCACACGGGAGACGGGCAAGGACAGGCCGTGGCCGAGTGGAGCCGCAGTCTGCGGAAAGAGGGACAGGCTGGAGCGAGGGAGATGGGTGCAGAGGAGGCGGGAGGAAGCGGAACGTCGACAGGAGGAGGGGGCTCACAAACCGAGAGGGGACACGGTGGGAAGGAGGAAGGCGCCACGGGCCAACCAGCGGGCATTAGGGCAACTGCAAAAGAAGAAACTCTGAGAGATGCTGGCTGCAACCCAGGTTGACAGTGTACCGGCAGGTGTGGTTTGGTCCCTCAGGGAAAAGGCACCGTCACCAGGGTGGGGTATTTTGCCAAGCGATCACGACACCACGTGGCAGGTCGTGATCGCATCTATCCCCCTTGTCGGCAATCGAGGCTTGCAAAGTGAGGCGAACCACCGTCTTCGTGACGGGGGGGTGCGTCGCGCGCGCAGGAGCACGAGGCTGCAAGAGGAAGGCGCGCGCCTGCATCCTCGGCCATGCTGCGTCTCGGCCTCCCCTGGTGCTGCGCTCACTTCCAGTGGTTTGGCCGGCAACTCCCTCGGGCGGCCAACCCTTCTGACAATCTTTAGCCTGCTGGGCCCAATCCAATAGTTCAAACATGCGTTTGAACAGGAACTACGCGTCGGTCGGAAGAAGTAGGTAAAAACATGAAGTGAAAAGGCGGATATAATAGATTGAATCCAGGCCCTCCCGAAGAATAACGAAAAACCGCACAAGCATTTCGACTCTTGAAGTAGGAAGGCGCGTGAAGTAGATTGGGATCTGGGAATCACCAACCACCTACTTTGAACGACCGACGTGTATGCGGAAGGAATGAACATGGCACTTTTCTAGTGGCTTGACCTGCTCAAACGCAGTGCGAAAGTGAGCACGGGAAACGTTTCTGCAAAATGGCACTATCACCTCACTGCCATCAGCCGGCAAGGCTTCATCTCATGGACTCATCTTTGCCCTCCCTTCACTTCGAATGGCGACCGCCCCCATCGATGCAGCTCGTTCGCGGCTCGCCCAAAGTGCGCCTGCGGTCGAGTCCGCCATCTACGGTTGTGCATGCCATGACCATGGACACTCTAACATTCCTATCATTGAATCAAAGGTGTGCTTCAAAAGTGTAAAACGTGTTCTAAACATGTTTCAAACATGTGTTTCACATGCTTAAACCATGTTTAACACATCTTCTGGACATCTGGAAATTGTTTGTCAGCATGCTTCCTCTCCATTGATCGTCCTCCACATATCTGCGGTCGATCAACTGGCCATCGCTCGGACGTCCATTCCCTGTGTTTTTTTCCGGTTTCGTGCGTGGTTTTTTCGCGAAATGATCAAGGATGTTCCTCGATGGTCCTCGCCGAAGGAAAAATGCACACGTCCGAGCGATGCCAAGTCAAGCGCTGCCCAGCCCCTCAACCGACGACCCAGCCAAAAACGCAACCACGGCCTGCGGAGAGCTCGGAAAGCTCATGGCTGGACTCGCGACGCGCTGGATGCGCACGTGGAGGGCCAGCGTGCCCTGGCCACGCGGGGGTCGAGCGCTGGAGGCACCTCTGGCCGGGTGCCGACCGGGCTCCCGCCCACGCCAGCCGCGTCAGAGGCCTTCAGCTTACTGGCAGCAGCGGCGGTGAGAAACAGGCAGGTGGGAACTTCGGGGGCCCGTGCCCGGAACTTGGGAACTTCTTGGGCCGTCCTGCACGCTCCGAAGACGAAGACGACGGGCATACGAAAACCGCACGCAGAGGGTCCTCAAGAGCAGATATAAACCATACACAGACGATACACCTTGCGAAATGCTTTAGAAATCATGGGTTAAGAAATTCATAGTCTCAGAACTCGAATAAAAACCCAAAAGTTCCATTCAAATCTTAGGATTTACATTGAAACGTTAAGAATAATCGAGACTCTGGCCGAAAATTTAAGTTTTCTTAGGCATCGCCTAAGGTGTACACAGACGATGAGCCATGCTTGTAGTGGGCCTCGTGAGATTCTTCTCGGCATCCCGCGTGCCGTCCGCGGCGGCTCTGCAGCCGTGCTGAGCCCGCCCGGGGGCCGTGCAGACATCCTTAAAGGGAAATTAGGACACACAAATAAATACACACTAATAAAAATAGTCCCAATATTTTCCCATATTTTCTGGGTTGTTGTCTTCCCCCCCACTTCCCATATTTTCCCATATTTTCTGGGAAATCGAAGATTAATTGTGTCTGTGTGTTTCTTTCCCTCCTGACAGACATCCTGGGGAGCAGCGGAGCCGTGCTGCAAGCCTGGGGAGCGAGACCGTCTTGGGGGGCTGCCGGGGTCGTCTTGGCGCCCGCTCCGGCCGTCTCGGGCCCCTCTGGCTTGTGGCCGTCTGGGGCCAACTGCGGCCTTCGGGGGCCCTCCCGGGCGCTCTGGGACCAGCCCCCCAGTCAGTCGTTCCGTGGCGACGGACCAGCTCTCCATGCGTAGGGAACCGATGGTACTGGCACAGCTGCACACACACACACACACACACAGAATACGCATCAGGGTGGAACAACTGCCAACCAGGTATGCAGACCAGAGCATGGCGAAACGAGCATAATACACCATCGCCGTACAAGGCGTATCTGCGAAACGGCATAGAGGGGAGTGAAGCGAAGAGGTGGACAGCGCAACTCTCTGAAAGCTCGCGGGGCAGGGCAGCGTGCATCGAGAGGGCGTGCCGCCTTCACCTGGGCGGGCCGAGTGCGTAGATCAGGACAAGTACAGCCATACCTGAGCCAGAAGAACATCCTTCAAGAAAATGAGACCTTCCGAAGGCCAAAACACATAGAACATCCAAGGGTACGCTCCCCAGGGTGCACAAGAACATCCAACAAGCACGAAGAACCTCAGGGCACCCTCCCCGAACAGACCTCGAACTTATTCCTCGGCCCGACTGCAGATACGAGCCCACCCAAAGCCTTTTTCAAGCGTCTCTGCGACACGGTGTGGACAGTGTAGTGAAACAAAGGGGCGGAGAGAGCACAAGCTGTAGTTCCAGCGCCGATCTCTGTAAAGGCTCACAGGGCAGGCCAACGTTCGTCTGCGAGACGTGACTCCATCAAGCGGGCGGGGAATTGCACAAGGCCGTGGTGCAGCACACGACCTCTGCGGGCTCCGGAGATATGCTCTTGAAGTACCCGCAGTAGTCGTAGTCATCGCCACCGCCCAGGTAGATCGTCTCGTCGACGCCCGCCTGGCTCGGGTACCTGTAGGCGAAGCACGCGCTGCAGTCCTCGCCGCACTCCTGCGCCACGAGCGCGTGGGAGCTCGGCACCACCCCCTGGTAGCACTCGAAGGGCGAGCCGACTGCCTCGGGCCTCTTGACTACCTACCAGACCACCCCAACCCAACCCGAAGACCCGAATTTGACCCGAATTTCGGGTTGGGGGGGGTACGGATACCATGTGTTTTTTCAACGTTCCCCGACCCCCCCCCACTGGAAATCGAGGATAAATTTGGGCCTTCAGGTTGGTTTGGGGTGGTTTGGTGGGTGGTGACCTCTGGGGCTTCAGCTGCAGGGCGGCGTCGAAGCTGCGCGAGGTGACCCGCCGCGCGCCCGCCGGAGGCCGGGAGGCCAGGGGGGGGCACGCGCTCGCACGGGAGCGCTCCCGCTGCCCGTTGGGGCGGCAGACTTCCCCGCGACGCCGGGCCCCGACGCCACGCCTTCCCTGACCTTCCAGAGGGCTATTTTTTAGCACTGGAGGCCAAAACACCTAAAAAACGGAGCGAAACAGCCTAAAACCAAGACGTAGAATAGCCTTGGGATCGTTTTTTTGGTCGCGTGCTATTTTTTAGCCCTCTTGGAAGGTCAGGGTTTGGACGCCCGAAATGGGCCCGGAAAGAATGGGCACAATGCCCAACAGCAAACGTTGCCCCAAAGCAGCAGCGGCCGGGGTTGGGCAGGCGGCCTCCTGTCTCGAAGGGCCACAGGCCGCGGCGGCGTGGACAGCGAGTCCTGTTCAGAATGAACAGGAACTGCTGTTGGGCATTGTACCCATTCTTTCCGTACCCATTTCGGGCGTCCAGAACACAACACTCCTGGGGGGTCCAAGAGCAACCGATGCCGCTGCGCCCCAGACCTCTACGCTGGGGCGCAGTCGGACCACAGTCCCGCCGGCCCTCTGGCCGTGGGTGGTGTTGGCGATGTCGCTCCGCCAACCTCCTCCTTCTCCCGGGGGAGGGGGTTACCGATGGGGCGTTCCCCGAGGGGTTCGAACGTCCAAGATGGCCCAAGATGGCCCCACGAGGGTCCCAGATAGCCCACCGTGGCATCCCAAATCGCGCAAGTTAGCCCCAAGCTGGTTCAACATAGCGTCCGCCATACCTCCGCAATAGGTGCCATGACCGTCCCGCGACGCCCCCCCCCCCGGAGAAGCCAACACAATTCCAAGACCTGTGGAATCCGCCACCGTGCCTGCAGGATTGTGGGCGTGTTGGAATGCCAGTGCTGCTCTGTTGGTGTTTCTGCGTTCTAAGTAGGGAAACGAACTCCATACACCGACGCTTTTTTCGACCCTGTGCTGAAATTAGCACTGGAACGCGGATCCTGGTGTATACGGGATCCTGGTGTATACATGTTTCGTGGTTTCCTTTGGAAAGCGAAGGAAAAGTATACACCACACCAGCCCGACGCCGTCCCCGACCCTCAAAAAGTCGTGGGATCGAAAAAAACAGCCCGCCACTGGTAATGTATATGTTCCAGTTTCCGACCAAGGACTACCGGACCCCCCCCTACCAGCAGATGCCCGTATCCTCATCCCCCCCGCGAGGCCACGATCCCTCGCACAAGAACTGCCGGCGCCCGCGCTCCCGAGCGTCCCCGCGTCCGAGCCCCCGAGCTTCCCGAGCGCCCGCGTCCAAGGCCTGGGCAGGCATCCATGGCAACCGAGTCTCGAAAACGGTCCAACGTGACCCCAAGGTGGCCCAATGTGGCCCTTATGTTGCATCCTCGGGGGACCTTGTCTGTCCCGTCGCGGCCCTATTCGCAGCGAATCCGTGTCGAATCCATGTCGGGCTCGTCGGATCCGTGTCGAATCCATGTCGAATCCGCGCCGAAACCACGCCAAGTCTGCGTCGACTCCGCATCGAGCCCGCGTCGGGCACAAACAAAAAGATACCAATTTTGGGGCCAGACGAGGTCTCCCGAAGATGTAACATAATGGCCCCAAGAGGGCCGAGATGACTCCAAGAGCGCCTGAAAAGAGCCACGAGGGGACCACCACAGCCGGGGCTCGAAGGAGCCAAACCCACGGATGACCCTTCAAGCCAAGGCGCCCCCAAGATGGCCCCAAGGTGGCCTAAGAGGCCTCCAAGAGGGCCCCAAGATGGCTCAAGAGGACCCCACGAGGGCCCAAGAGGCATCCAAGACGGCCAAAGAAGGACCCAGACCCAAGGCGGCCTTAGAAGGCGGTCGACCGTCCAAGGCGGGAGCCAAGACGACCCCACGACTGACCCCAGAAATACCCCTCGAATACGGCCAAGATGGCCCCACGGCGGCCCAAAAGAGCCTCAGGACGACCCAGGAGGGCCCCACGACGGCCGAAGAGGGCCCCAAGACGGCCCCACGGGACCCCCTAGATTGACAGACAGGAGGCCAAGGCAACCCTACGACGGCCCGAATGAGTTCCATGAGAGCTCCTCAAGGAGTGAAGACGAAAGGCGTCACATGTGACTGCATTCCCCTCCTCCTCTCGCTCCTCCTCCTCCTCCTCCTCCTCCTCCTCCTCCTCCTCCTCCTCCTCCTCCTCCTCCTCCTCTTCTCCGCATCCTCATCATAACCCAGATCATCCTCATCACGGATCTTCCAAGCCTGCGGACAACAAGTGTCGCGAGTGACGGCCTCCCGTGGTCCCTCTAACAGTCGCCACGCAAAATGCTGGGCTTGCACGGTGATGGGACATGCCGCAGGCAGCTGGATCCGCCGCCACCTTTTGATTTATCAAAGGGGTGCCTGGCGTGCTAAACCCTCTAGGTTTTGGTTTTGGCTCTTTTTCCAAAAGAGCTCCCCCTGGGGCTCCGGTGCGTCCCGCCGGCCACCCGGAAAGGATCTCAAAACGCATCCGTCATGCCTCTGTTTCCTCCAGTTGGCCCAAGATGGCGTCCAAAACGGCCAAGATGGCCCAGGATGGTCTCCAAGACGTCTCCAAGACGCCCCAAGATGGCCTCCAAGACGGCTAAGATGGCCCCAAAATGCCTCCAAGACGGCCCAAGATGTACCCAAGACGGTCCACGACGGCCCAACAGGCCCGCAAGAGGCCTCCAAGGCGGCCCAAGAGCCCTGCAAGACGTCCTCCAGGAAGGCCCGAAAGGGCCAAAATCATTAATTTGCCTCAGGTGTCCGAAGGATTTTGGCATTTGCGCCTTTTCGGCTTTCCGACGGCCCAAGACGGCTCAAGAGGCCCCCAAGATCGCCCAAGAGGTCCCCAAAAGAGCCCCATGACGGCCCAAGTGGCCTCCAAGACGGCCCCAAGACGGCCCAAGAGGCCTCCAACACGAGATGGCCTCCAAGACACACCCAAGATGGCCTCCAAGACGGCCCCGAAGCGCCCCAAGAGGGCCCCAAGTCGGCCCAGAAAGGCCCCCAAGACGGCTCCCGACGGCGTCAGACGTGCCAGGAACCCACCAAGATGGCCGAAGTTGGCTCGAAGCTGGCCCAAGACGGCCCAATAGGCCCCCAAGAGGGCCTCCAGGAAGGCCAGAAGAGGCCCAACACATTGATGTCCCTAATGTTTTTGACGGATTCTGACATTTGCTTATTTTCGGCCTTCCGACGGCCCGAGACGGCCCAAGAGCCCCCGAAGATCGCCGAAAGATCGCCCAAGAGGCCTCCAAGATGGCCCCAGAACGGCCCAAGAGGGCCCCAAGACGGCACCAAGAGGCCCCCAAGACGGCACAGGAGGCCTTTAAGACTCCCAAGATGGGCCTCCAAGACGGCCCTGGAGCATTCCAAGAGGGCCCCAAGTCGGCCCATAGAGGCCCCCCAAACGGCTTCCGACGGCGTCAGACGGACAACCAAGACGGCCGAACATGGCCCTAAGATGGCCCAAGACGGCCCAAGAGGCCTCCAAGAGGGCCTCCAGGAAGGCCCGAAAAGGCCAACACCATTGATTTCCCATGGTTTTTGAAGGATTGTGGCATTTGCTTTTTTCCTGCCTTTCGACGGCCCGAGACGACCCAAGTGCCCCCACAGATCGCCCAAGAGGCCCAAGACACGGCCCCAAGAGGCCCCCAAGACGGCCCAAGAGGTCTCCAAGACGCTCAAGATGACCTCCAAGACGGCCCAAGAGCCCTCCAAGACGTCCTCCAAGAAGGCCCGAAAGGGTCAAAGTGGCCTCCAGACGGCCAAGATGACCTTCAAGATGCCCACGTGTTCCCCGAAGGCTTTCCAAACCGATTCGGGGAACACATGGTCCGATAGCTTGGCAGGTCTGGCCTCAACGTTCGGCCACATGGGCGTTTCCAAAAAGGCAGGGGGCGGCGGTGATTCGCCGTAGGCGTCTTCGATAACAACGTGTTGTCTCTTCTCGCCTTTTCGTTTCCGGTGGGCTCCTGAAGCTTCAAGATGACTCCAAGCTGACGCAGCAGGGCCCCAAGAGTGGCCCGAGAGGAGCCAAATACGACCCCAAGAGCGGCCAAGAGCGCCCTCAGAGCGCACGTTTGTTTCGGCCTGCGACGCGGGGGGGCGTAATTGTAGACCCCCATTTTGATCGATGGCATCCAAAAGGCCCCCAGAGATCCCCCAAGGCCTGCAATATGACCCCAAGAGAGAACCCCAAAAGGGCTCCAAAATGGCCCTAAGAGGGCCCTGAGAGGGACCAAATAGGGCCCCACGATGGCCCCAAGATGCATCAAACAAGCTCCAAGAACATGACTGTGTGCTGCAATTGTATTGCATATTCGGGGGACCTTGTCTGTCCAGTCGAACAACGATCCGAGTCAAATCCGTGCCGAATCCACGCCGAATCCGCGTCAAACCCACGTTGGAATACAAACAGGACTGCCACTTGCAGGACAGGAGAGCTCGCCCGAAGATGCAAAGCAACTGCAGCGCATCCCTGCCCAGGGCAGCTCGCCCAGTGACTGCTGCTGTTTGTGCCGGCGGGAATATTTTTGGTCAACAGGGTCGCGAGGCGGGTCGAAAGCCGTCCGAGCACTAGTCGGGCCGCGACTAAGCAGCAGGAAAAGAAAGGCAAGCGAAGCGAGCGAGCGGGCAGCCACTCAGAGGGAGAGCCAGAACCGATACACTCCCAAACCCGGTGGCGTTGGAAACCCCGGTGGCGACCAGCAAGCAAGCGCAGCCAAAATGGCGCGCGGCGCGACCACAGACACGCAGAGGTCGGTCGCTCTCCGGTGGGGATGCGCGCGGCGACGAGAAGATGGACGAGAGCCCGGCCGTGGCGTCGGGGGCTCTCCGAGACAAGCCGCGGCGCCGGCACCCTTTCCTTACGGGGGGGGCCCAAACACGGCGCGGTGGCCACGCCGCGTGGCGAGTCGGTGGGGCTTCGGGGTCGCCGCCCGGGTTTTGGACCCGGGCCGTTCTCCGCAGACTTCGCGGGCGACTGGGGCCTCCGAGGTCCCCAGGCCGTGCGGTGAGGGACCGTGCGCTGAGGGCCCTGGGGATGTCGTGGCCACCGCACGGTCCGTCACCGCACCGTTTTGGGGGCCCCAATTGTCCTGCTCTGAGCTCAGCGCATCGGGGTTGGCGCTGGCGGCGACGCCAGGAGTGCGGGGTGGGCATCCAGCACAGGCGAGGCCTGCCCTGCGCGCACGTCCAAAAATGGTGAGGTTTCAGGCTGCGCGCAGACATCCCGCCCAGGTACAGTCGGGCCGCTGAAAACAAGAGCGCTATAAAGAGGAACGAAGCCCCTTCTGGGCCCCAACACTGCCTTCGCTCGCGAGGAGGGCCGGAGGAAACGCCGTGGAAGAACGAGCCCCTTCCGAACCCTAACTGTTTCTTCCTTCAGCGTCTTTCGCAGGCCGAGAGGTTGACACCAACACCAAGATCGGCGGTGTGCCTCCACCGAGGGAAGAAGATCCCGATCTCGGTGATGGTGGTAATATTCTGGCTTCCAAGGTGACCGAAATGTTACCACCAACACCGAAATCTAGGATCATCTCCCCCTGGTGGAGGCAACCCCCTGTGTTGGTGTTGGTGCCCATTTCCAAGCCTCCGAGTCTTGACTGTAGCCCCGGGCGGTCTCAACTCCCCATCACTGGGGCGAGGAGCACGGCGCCGCCGGAGGCGGCGCTGGCGTGCCTGGACCGCCCCAGAGAGGTCAGGAGGGCTGTCTGGTCGCAGCTCGGAGCCTTGCCGAGGCCCTCTGGCATCTGCCGATCGGATGACTGGCCATCGCTCGGACGTCCACTCCCTGTGTTTTTGTGTCGGTTCCGTGCGTGTTTTTTTTTTCGCTAAATGATCGAGGGTGCTCCTCGATGGTCCTCGTCGGAGGAAAAATGCAACACGTCCGAGCGATGCCAAGATGATTTTGAATCCGCGGCCACGGAGGGCCGGACCGCTGCCCCAAGGGTATAGGCGCTCGCCCCGCAGGTCCGTCTCTGATGGCCCCGAGGCCCGAGGCCCGCCCCCAGAGGCATGCACATCGAAAAAAAAAAAACAAAGGGATTGGCACAGTCATACGTCAGAGAACCCGGGAAGTCTCCCCCCTCTGCCTGCGTCCGAAGCTCGTGCTCGCGTGCGTCCCCCGGCCTCCAGATGCTGTGGAGGGAAGGAAGGCGGGGACCATGACCGAGGCCGTTTGCAGAGAAGTCCGTGTCCAGGAACGCACCAGCAACCCAGGCATCCGACGTCTCGATGTGTTCGAGACGCGGGCCCCCGACCTCCCGACCACTTCCCTGGGACCGGTGTTTCATCCCGAGTCGTTTTGTTGACGGTCCCGAGGCCCGGCGAGGGCCCCGAGAGGCCAAAAACTGTGACAAACCTCTGTCTCGATGTTTTCGAGGCGCCCGAATGTCTGGGAATACACCAGCAGCACCGACCCTGGCCAGGATCCGCCCCTGGCCCCAGGAGCGCTGTCTACGCCCCTCCTGCCCGGGGCAGAGAATGCGTACACACACACACACCGATCCTGGGCGCAGGGTCGGCCTGGCCAGGACCGGTGCAGGTGCATAGCTGGCGCCCTCCGGGTGTCGACCTTGGTCAACGCCCATCTTGGTTACCGTCGGGGCCTTGACCCAAGGAACCCTAAAAGTAAGGAACAAAGCCCCTCTTTCCCATAAGTTGAACTTCGATTTCGTATCGAAACCTGAGGAAAATCCAAGGCAAACTGCGAAACACCTAAGGAACACGGAGCCCCTCCCCAACGAAAAGGGTTCCTTCTTCAGCGCCCCGACTGTACACCAACACCGGTCCTGGCCAGGACCACCCCGGGCCCAGGATCGCGGTATACGCCCTCCTGCCCTGGGCAGAATGCGTATACACACCGATCCCGGGCGCAGGGTCGGCCTGGCCAGGACCGGTGCAGGTGTATCGCTGGCGCCCTCCGGGTGTCGATCTTGGTCAACGCCCACCTTGGTTGCTCCAGACTTCATAACAAAAGGGAGGGGGTCACAACCCTCCCAGACGAGAAATTGTAGACCCCCCCAGACCATCCATGAAAGGGCGGCCCATTGCCCAGATCCCCCCCGACCCTTCAAGACTCCTCAAATCAGACCCCCCCCAAATGTGACCCCCCTCACTTTATTATGGAATCCGGAGTACCGTCAGGGTGTTGACCCAAGGAACCCTAAATAAGGAACGAGGCCCCTCTTTTCCATAAGTTAACCTCCGATTTCGTATCGAAGACCTAAGGGGAATCCAAGGCAAGCTGCAAAACAATCAAGGAACACGGAGCCCCTCCCCAGCGAAAAGGGTTCCTTCTTCAGCGCCCCGACTGCATAGCTGGCGCCCTCCGAATGTCGATCTATGGTCAACGCCCATGTTTTGGCTATCGCCGACTCGTCGCTCATCCTCGCGAATCGGCAGCGGCCGGCACACCGTAGGCGCCGCCGGGGAGTCCAGCGCGGATCCCAGAAATCCGCGCGGAACTCCGAACATTTATGTATGTATCGTTTTCTGCCCCTCGAGAAGACTACAAAAACAGCCACCTGCTGGCCAGAAGATGTGCAGGGTGGCGAGTCAATGTGGTCATGGTCAAGGTGGAGAGCCAATCCCAGACCCCCGAAGCCATGATTTTTCACACCGTCGCTCCCCAAAAGTCTCAACGCAATCCCCAGGGACCCATTTCTCATCCCGCGTCCTTCTTTGTGACGGCCCCGCAGCCCAGTGAGGGCCCCCGCGTCCTTCTTTGTGACGGCCCCGCAGCCCAGTGAGGGCCCCCGGAGGCCGAAAGCGGCGAAGCACCACCCGCCGTGATCTTCCAAGGCCTCGAGGGGGTCTGGGCTGTGGTCATGGCCCTCTGGGGGAAACCAAAAGGTACCGATACCGCTACTCCCTGGCTCCCGGGGTGCGTTCTGCCCGAAATGTCGAGGCGAATCCAGCGGTGGCGACGAAGGCATCCCAGGAGGCCCAAAAAAGGGGAAACGGGCGGGGGGTAGAGTCGGCCTCGATTGGACAGGACACGCGAGAGGACACAAGACCCTTCCGAGGGCCACATCGCCATAGGAGTGTAAGAAGGCACGTGTCGAGAGGCACAGGACACAAGGATACCCTTGAACTGGCAGGGTCGACCTACTAATCCGGGCCGACTGTAGAGGTATGGGGTATGGGCATATTTTTCCTCCTCGGAGTCTGGGCTGTGGTCATGGCCCTCTTAGTCCTTCCCTCGATGAGGGGGCGCGGAGCGCAGCGCCGCCGCCGCGCTCATGATGGGCCGATTTCCCACCACCACTGCCACAGGTAGGAGAGAGGGAGGAGGAGGAGGAGGAGGAGGAGGAGGAGGAGGAGGAGGAGGAGGAGGAGGAGGAGGAGGAGGAGGAGGAGGAGGAGGAGGAGAGTAAGAGAGAAAGAGGAGGATGAGGAGGAGGAGGAGGAGGAGGAGGAGGAGGAGGAGGACCTCCCCGTCCTCCCTTCTGCCCCGTCCTGCGGCTGGTTCGCGTCGTGTCGATCCCGGCGTTGGTTCCTGACACCGCGGGGATCGTTCAAACTTGAACGATCGGCCCTTTCAAAGAAACCGTACAAGGATGGGCCGATTCTGGGCCACAGGCGGCGTTCAACCTTAAACGCCCGCGCTGGGGTCACAGCCGGTCGACACGACGCGGACCTGCCGTACCTTTGGCAGGACGGAGGAGGAGGAGCAGGGGGGGGGAGGAGAGGAGGAGGAGGAGGAGGAGGAGGAGGAGGAGGAGGGGAGGAGGAGGAGGAGGAGGAGGAGGAGGAGAGGGGGAGGAGGAGGAGCAGCAGGAGGAGAGCAGGAGGAGGAGGAGGACTCCCATCCTCCCTTCCCCCCCGTCCTACCCTTGGCAGTGGTGGTGGAGATGGGCCCACCAGCTCAGGCCCAGCAGCGCAGCCGCAGCAGATCCCGCGGCCAGGCGGCACGCCGAGCGGCGGCACCAGCACGCGGCAGGCAGGGGCGGCGAGGCCGCCGCCTCGAGGTGCTCCTCCTCGGAGGTACCCAGACCTCCGACGAAGGCCTCCTCCCTACCTTCTCTTACTCGTCCTCCCTCTCCTCCTCCTCCTCCTCCTCTTCTCTTCCCTCCTCCTCCACAAGCTCCTCCTCCTCCTCCTCTACTCCCTCCTCCCGCCTCCTCCTCCTCCTCCTCCAGCCTCCTCCTCCTCCTACTCCTCCTCCTCCTCCTCCTCCTCCTCCTCCTCCTCCTTCTCCTCCTCATTCTCCAAGGCTCGCCGCAGGCGCTCACGTCGTCGTCAAAGCCACGTGGGTGGGCCGCGGGTGGGTCGCGGGCGGGTCGCGGGGTGCGTCGCGGGGTGGGTTAAGACAAGGCCAGGACGAGGTTAGATTCGGGCGAGGATGAATCGAGAATCTCAGAGATCCGGCGGCTCTGGAGGATGTCTCGGGAGCCGCGGCCTTCTCACAGCGCTCCGGAACGCTCTGAGAGCGTTCCGGAATGCTCTGGAACGGAGTTATCCTCGTCCTAGCCCCGTCCGACGGGTCGCGGGGTGGTTCGCGGGGTAGTCCTGGGAGGTCTCTGTCTGAAGGATCAAATGCGATGAAGCCCGATTGAAGGGCCACCTCGCCAATTGAGGCTGGGTGAAACCTCGGATGAAGCCAGGTGAAATCGGATTGAGCTGGATTCAGCGGGACTAAACCGGATCAGGCGGAATGAAACCCGATTAAGTGGGAATGAACCAGGTTCGGCCCGTTTGCGGCAAGGGAAATGCCAGCGCCGAGTCAGAATTTCAGCCTCCCAGGAGTTGTTTCCCAGCCCGTCCCGAACAGGACCCTCCCCGAGACCTGGTCTCGGCCTCCGGGTGCCCTCGCCGGGCCCCAGGACCGCCCGCACATGGCCCCAAAAGATGAAGAGCCCACGCCTCTGCTCAGAGGAGGGGCTGGGGACCCAGTGCTGAAAAGAAGCAGGACGTCGCACTTCTGTTACCAGCCTGGAACATATCCCTATCCCTATGCTGGGCACCTCCTCGTCACGATGGCGATCTTAGGGGTTCCCATATCTTTTGAGGGCGAGTCCCTAAGACTGTCATCGCCTCTTGGCGTGTCAATCTTAGGGATAGGGATACGTTCGAGGCTGGTAAACTTCTGGGCTCTCAACGGAGCGACGAAAAGAAACGGGGGCCTTGCGCGAGAAGCCACGAAGACCTTACGCCGCGGCTGACGCTGGCCGCCAGCGTGGCACACGGGCGTGGAGGAGAGGGCGCTGGCGCGCGCGACCTGCGCGGGAAACTCCCGCGCGAACGTCGGCGCAGCCGACCTCGTCTGCTTGCGTGGCTCAGCTTGCATCTGGGGCCGCTATTGGGCACTCCTCCGCCTCCTCCTCCTCCTCCTCCTCCTCCAACTCCTGCTCTCCCTCCTCCACCTCCTCCGCCTCCTCCTCCTCTTCCTCCTCCTCCTCTCCCTCCTCCTCTCCCTCCTCCCCCTCCCCCTCTTCCCCCTCCTCCTCCCCCTCCCCCTCCTCCTCCTCCTCCTCCTCCTCCTCCTCCTTCTCCTCCTCGCGGCAGGCACCGCCAGGGCCTTCAGAAGTGGGCCTGCGGCGAAGAGCTGGATCCAGGGAAGGGGTCGGGGCCTCGGGGGGCCGAGGACTGGAAACACATGCCGCCGGACGTCCGGGTCCTCCCCCGCGGCACCGCCCTCGTCACGAGCCTGCTCTGCCGCAGGCGCTCCATGCTGCCAACCGAGGAGAGGATGATACGCATATGCGCCCCGTGGAGGCCGAGGTGGCCACGCCATATACACAGAGAGAAAGAGAGAGAGAGAGAGAGAGAGCAAGAGAGAGAGAGAGAGAACGTTGCAGGCGTCCTCTACGGCCTGCTCGCTTGAACCGCGAGCCGGCGGTCATGGATCAACATTGAAAAGAACTGGTTACGAACAACACGCGTGCAGTCTGCATTTCCCCCGTGGATGGCGCTCTCGCCTTGGAATATCGTCATACATTAGTTGCAGCGCTCTCGCTGCTTAGAACCGTGCTCTCGCAGCTCCGGTGTCCCGAGTGGCCAGCCCGTTTCGATCCGCCCGTGCGGAGACGCTGGGCCAGCCCGCCCGACAGGGTCGTCCACCCGCAGGACACGCCCGTCCGATGCCGCCCGCCGCCCGCCGCCCGCCCGCGACCCGACCCGCAACCCGCCCGCGACGCACACGCGACCGTCCCGCAACCAACCCGCGACACTCCCGCGACCGACCCACCCGCGATCCCCGCGCGCGGCGGCCTTCTATTCATTGGCGCTGCAACCCTGCGAACCTGGCAAGGCAACCAAGGCGTCCCCTCACTCTTACCCGCAATTGCGGGGGCTTCGTTTTAAAGCAGGCCCACGAGGTCACCGTCGATCAAGCTTCGCCCAACACGCAATCGGAAGCGTTTGGAGATCTCGGGCGGAAGCTCGCTGCCGTAACAAAACAACTGCGATGCCTCGTGACATCTCGTTGTCTGCCTCTCTCTCTCTCTCTGTCGCTCTCTCTCTCTCTCTCTCTGTTTCTCTCTCACTCTCTCTCACTCTCTCTCCCTCTGGCGTCACGTTCCGTGGACAAGAGTGCATAGCGCCAGGGCCACGGACTGGACTGGCGAAGCGATGGGATCGCCTTGCCATCCGCGTCTGGAACGGCTCAATACCCTGCACCTACCTATGAGATCTGTTGTTGGGATTGCCGTCGTCGTCGTCGTCGTCGCCGTCCTCCTCCTTCGAATCGACCACATGTCCTGCACTGCAGGACGCTCAGACCAGGATCTCGAATCGAGTCGATCCGTGGCGACGAAGCGGCAGCTGCCTGTCCTTGCCGTTTCAGGCGTCCTCGTCGCGAGGACTTACAGGCAACTCCTGCTCGTCGCACCACCAAGTGTGCCGGAGGGGCAGGCCTGGCGCTTCGCTGGACAACTATCAGTTCACAAGCTGAACGGAACGAGAGACGTCCCACAAACGTGGATACTTCCGCATCGCTGTGCACAGTCGTCTGGTCCTGCACTGGTGCGGGGCGAGCTGCCTCCAAACGGCGGATATCAGCTTCGCGCCGCGCGCATCCGTCTTGGATGCGTGTGACGGGTGCACGGGTGGAGGACGAGCGGATTCCAAGATGTGGCTCTCGCCCAGACGCCGCACGCGTCCGCTGCAACAGCTTGCAACAATCAGCCTGATGGAGGCCGATGTCTTTCAAAACTGTTCAAGCACGGACTTCTGCTTGAGACACCATGTCGGCTCGCGACACAGAGAGTTGGGTTTTCTGCACCAGTCACACGGGTGGAGGGCGGTTCCTTTCCAACGTGGGGCTATATAGCGCGCGACGCCTGACACAAGAAATGTTGATGGCTGCTCCGCGTACAACCAGCTGCGTGACATGGGCCTCCCATCTCGCCCTCCTCCTCCCGCCTCCGCCCTCCCCCGCCGGCACCCCCTCCACAACCTCCTCCCTCCTCGTCGCCCTTTCCTCCGTGCTGATCCACATCCCACACCTGCTGCTCGTCCACGCCTGTGCGCCTGAGCCCGCCACCGCCCAGCCCCCTCCAGGCACGAAGTTCGCCCGAGGGCGTGGTGGCCCCAGCAGGAGTCTATTATCCGGCACGCTGCGCGCGCTTTGAGCCGGCGCGCAGCGCGCAGGCAAGGAGGAAAGCAGGAGGACAGAGACAAGGACACGGAGAGGAACACCCATCGATGAGGCAAGACACTCCCCGTAAGCTCTGTCCAGGTGTCGGTCGGTGGGGGATAGCTGAGATACACTGTTTTATGCACCCCTGCAAGGCACAATCAAAACTGAATCGAGCAACGAGCTGAGCGCCAACTGAGTGTGGAGCGGCGGGCCTGATTGAGCCAGGTCGAGAGGGGTCGGCAAGGTATTCCTCCTCCCCCCTTTCAGTACTTTTCTTGATAAGCAATTTCTCTCTGTCACATCCACAAGCCAGTCGAAGGAGCGGCCCAGGCATTTCGCCTGAGCCCCCCTTACCATTTGTGATCCTGAAGCTTACAAAACCTGGCAACAGCTTCACGGATGGAGGACGGGTGGTTTTCAAAATGTGGCTCTTGCCTGGGCGCCACGCACGCTCGTGAAAAAACATTGGAAGAGCTTCACGGATTGAGGGCGGGTCGTTTTCAGCAAATTGCTCCCGCTTTTGCGCTGCGCAAGCTCTTCTTAAACAATTGCTAGAGCATCACGGATTCCGAGCGGGCCGTTTCCAAAATATGGCTCTCGCCTCAGCGCCGCGCACACCCGTCTGCAAGCATTGCAAACATTTCACGTATTGAGGGCGGCTCCTTTTCAATATTTGGCTATCGCCTGAGAACCGCGCACATTCGTTTTAAGAATTTATCGAATGTTCACAAATCCGGTTGGTTATCATCACACAAATCGTATTCTGGAACACTTCAGGACTGTCAGGGCGCATCGATTCGCGGTGTTGGACAGTCCCAGGAATGGCGTTCTGGTACGATTCGGAATCGTTAAGACGTAGCGGTCAAATTGATTCGTGACGTTGAAGCTCCGATAATGCTGTTTTGGCACTCTCCAGGATCTTCTAACGGTTGACTCCCAACGGGGCACTCCCCTGAATGAAACGAACCACCCTTGTTGGGGCCTATGAAGAGGGAGCTTGGAGGAAGGGCTTACGTATTCCAACATCGTTGATACGTCTTGGGTTCACACTAGTCCTCCTCCTCCTCCTCCTCGTCCTCCTCCTCCTCCTTGTCTTACCTCGCCCTCCTGCCTGACTCCCTCCCCCCTCCCTTCCAGGAACCCTCCAGAGGCATTCAAAGCACTCTTGGGACCTCCGGTCAGGGGACCTCCGGTCAGGGGACGCCAGGAGACTGGGATCTCTGGAGGCAGGCTGGGTGGGGGGGGGGCAACCGAAGGGGGAGGGTGATGAGTTCGGGTGGTTTCCGTTCCCTCCTCCTCCTCCTCCTTCTCCTCCTCCTCTTCCTCTTCCTCCTCCTCCTCCTCCTCCTCCTCCTCCTCCTCCTCCTCCTCCTCCTCCTCCTCTTCCAACGC